TATTTTCTACATGCAAATTCCCAAGATATCACTTATGCCTGAATGTTTTGAAAGAAAAAAGATCCAGAGAAAAGAAAAATATGTGGATGTTAGAAAAGGAAACCTAACCAGTAGTAAAGAGATAATGTTCACAATACTGTTAACTGTTTAGAACTGGAAAAGCACATTTCAAAGAACCCTTCATTTTACAGATGAGGAGACTAAGACCCACTAGCTAGAAGCAGATATTATTACATTCTCTTTTCCATCCTCTTAGGATTTTTTCTTTTCTTTTTCTCCCCCCCCATCTTCATTAATACTATAGATTCAGAAAGAATTGTCTGGAGAAAATTAAGTACCTGGAGGCCACCCTACTCTTCCATAATGGGTTCTACCCTCGTCTGTAATAAGTATTAATTGAATGGATGGTTTCAATTGGAATTTAATAAGTCTTCCTTCTTAATTTAGATTATATCTGACAAACCAATCTTTTCCTGGATTAGGTTTGAAATTATTCCTAATACAGTTAAATCATATCAAGTGAGATCAGTTTCATCTTCCCTGATAGGATAAGAAGGAGACTATCAACACATCTGAATTTCACAGGCAGAGACTCAGCAAGTTTTGCTCTCTCTTCTCTTGGGGAATTTCCATACACCTGCAAAGTTCTTTGACTTGGGTGGGTAACGAAAGTGGTAGAATAATGAGGGCGCTTTCTTGTGTGTGACGAAGATTGGAAGCTGGTGAATGTAATAAGCTTCATTGGGGCTTGAAGAATGAACAGCACTTGTTTCTCATCAGAACATTTCCTGTGGTGTGTTTTAGGCAATAGCCCTCCCTTAGAAGGCTGGGTCCTCCAGTGCTGAAGTATATGTGGACTAGGTGGGAAGATACTTATTGAGGGAAGAGTGGCATGCTGGGAAAGTCTTTTTCTTTGGATCAGATCATTTGTAGGGGTCATCCCAAGTCTGCCCCTTGTTAGTTGCCTGACCCCAGGAAGGCTACTCAATTCTTGTAAATTTAACATTCTTTACCTATAAAATCAGGAAATGGATGCTCTACAAGATTGCAGCAGGAGTTTGGAATAAATATATAAAACATCTAGAAAGAGACTGACATGGGGCCAAGGATCTGTTTTGTCTTCTACTGTATTCCTCATGCCTGGTACACGATAGGGTATTTGCTGAATGAATATACTAGGTGCTTAATTACTGGTGGCCATGATGATTATCCTTGTTACTAGGCGATTATTTGTCCAAAGTCTTAATGTGCTTTTGTTTCCAGTCCTTAAAAATGTGTACATACACATATATAATGCTATATGTAATATATATTAGATAACATACAATATCATGTTATACAAAGAATACACAAACCAAGAGTTTGAAATAAGTGCCATAATGTTATTACCAAAATTTTATAACCTGATTATACAACTCGGCATAGCCAATGTATTTTTTTTAACTTTATTTATTTAAATGATCTCTACACCCAATACAAGGCTCCAACTCAAGACCCTGAGATCAGGAGTCTCATGTTCTTCCGACTGAGCCAGCCAGGCACCCCTAGCCAATGTATTTTTTGGAAGGAATGTCAGTATCCCTTACAACTAACAGTTTAGCTGTGAGCTAAATAGGAGAGGAAAAAGGATCTGATAATATGTATAAAAACAGCCCTAAGACAAGATTGGAGCAGTAGCATACTTGGTGGGAACAGATCTTTTCATTGGTGGGTAAATCCCACTAAATCAGGATCAGTGACTAGGTATAAAAAATAAGCTGTTCTTCCCTGCAGATTTGATGAGAACCTATGGCATTAGAGGAGGGGAATTTTGTATCTGAAACCGTGGTGTGTTCATCTTTTGCCTTCACATAGAGAGAGGGAGACGAAAGTAACTTTTATACTTTCTACTACTAAAATTTCAGGAAAGGTTGGAAGCAATGAGGCTTGATAAGAGAATGATTTCATTAGAATTGGGCATGGTGGGAAGCAGTAGGTAGAGTTATGAAGGGAATCGGACAGAAAGACAGACAACTTGAGTCCTTTTGGCTTTGCCACCCTGTTTCCTCAGCTTCTCATGAAGGTTTTACTGAAAGCCTTTGAACTTTCTCCTAATACTTGATCTATTCAGCAAATATTTACTGAACTCCGCCCTGGGTGAGACTGGCTTCAGAGGCACCCTCACTGTTATAATGCAGTGATCTGGCAACGTGGGTCCTGTCATCAGAACCCTCCTTTATGCACTCTTTATGCACCATGAGTCCCCTGTACGTTACTTAACCTTTCTAAGCCTTGGTTTCCTTATCTGGAAAATAAGGGAGGAAGTTCTAGCTCATTAAAAATATTGTTACAAATATTACATAATATAAACCACGTATAGCACAGTGTAGTCCTTTGAAGTAAGCATTTAACATATGATCTAACAGTTATAAACACCGTTGCTTTTCTGAAAAAGGATCTGGAATGACTGCTAACAGCAACTGGTGTAATAAGGTAAATGATTGTCCGAGGAGAAATTGCCAATCATGTCCTGGAATAAAAAGTCATTTTAATTTGTAGGCTTTACAACTCTCAGGATGTCTGCCCACCCCCCGCCCCTACCCTCAATTAGGAAATAACTTCTGGCCTCACTCAAAGCCTTATCAGAATTTAAGGAAGCCTCATTATGCAAATATTCCAGCCAAAGTGGACATCTAGAACTCCTAATTCAGTGAGACTGTTTATCAATGGTGACTGAGGGTTCCCTTGAAAAAGGAAAAATATATGGGGTGCCTGGGTGGCTCAGTCATTTAAGCATCTGACTCTTGATCTCAGCTCAGGTCTTGATCTCAGGGTTGTGAGTTTAAGCCCCGAGTCGGGCTCCACGCTAGACATGGAACCTACTCAAAAAAAGAGGGGGGGATACAATCCTCCAGTTCTTAGCAAGAAAGTAGATTCTAGACTTTAGTTCATGTATAATTTCATGGATGTGGCTTATATGGAAAATGAAAATTACCTATTTCCAAATTCCATGCAAATTCTATGCAATAAAGCCTCTTGCAGAACATACCCATTCTATCAGCAAATCCTATTGGTTTTTCCTGCTAAATGTATCCAAATTCCAACCACCTGTTGCCTCTCTGCTCTGTTCGAGGCTGGCTTTGGTCCTTCCTCAAACCCTCTTCCACATTGCAGCCTGTGTCCCACCCCTCCGTCCTGCAGAGCCTGGCTGCTCTCCTCTCCCTCCTTCCTTAACTCACTCCCCTTTGCCTTGTGTCAAGACTACCAGATATGCTTTTCTTGTTTCTAGCTCATTTGACATTTTTTTGTCCTGTTATTTTATGACCTGCTATACAATAGCCTCTCACGTGAGTGTACCCTTCCTTACATGCCCTATATTATTTCTACTCTTGATTTTTGACATTTCTTACAAAGAAATGTGTCTTTTTAAAAGGCACATTCCTTATTAACAACCCTCCTATTATAATGTAGTTGGACAAATTCCACAAAAATGTCTCATCCACATTCTGGTAATAAAGAGAGTCCATCTGACCTCTTAGAGAATTTTTAATAGAATAACTCGAACACGTATGTACGTGCTCCAGTGGAGATCCTTCTAAGAAGTGTGTGGTGGTCTCAAACCACTTTTGTCCGAGTGCTTCTTACACCCTCTTCTCTAGGGCTGCTTTGTATTTCAGCAACCCGAGCACCTGGTTACTTGAGCACTGCTGGGATAGTGGCCTCTTAAAACAACATGAATCCGTGTCTAGGCAATAGATTTGAGAGGAATAAATGATTGCTATTTTTTCCCAGGAAAGGAAGACAATAGCTTTTTGTGGAACCCCCAAATGTGCTATTTCCCCAATGGGTGGTGGTAATTTGAGGCATCCTCCTTTACACAGGCTACCCCAAGCTCATTAAAATCCAGAGCTAGGCCTGTAAAACCCTTGGCCTGTCTGTCTCGCAATGAGAGAGAAAGCGACCCAGACCAGATTCTTTCTTGCCCTACTTCCTACCAGTTCACCCCAAAAAGCCCCAAACTGGTTTGATTCAGACTCAGCTGCGGAAACCTAGTCTGATTCCATGGCTATCTTTCTGCTGTAATTCCCACCCCCCCTTCACACATCCCCTCCTCCTTGATTATATCTGAAATCTCTTTCACAAAGGATTTTAAAAATCGAAGAGAGCTAAGCATGCATCTCTCTGCCTGACATATTTTTGTGTGAATGACTTTCAATTAAAATACAATCACTCAGTCACCAACCAGGTTTAAAGGACTGATATAGATTTGGTTAGTGTGTCATGACAGGGAGACCACTAAAAAGAACAATAAGGGCTTTGTGCAGTTATCCTGGTGGGCAAAAGGGGCAATGAAGAACAGCCTGGAGACCCTTGGCAAACTTCTCAATTTTGCCTAAGGCAGGTCCTGTTTATCTTTAACCGAGTGGGGGACAAATAAAAATGGGGCACCTGGTATTTGTGTTCTGCAGCTGCAATCTCAGAAGCTCTGTCTCATATGATTTATGAAAATGTACTTTTCTTTTTTTAATGTGTGCTTGACTTCATACAAAGGAGCATTTTCCCCTGAAGATTCATTAATGAAGGTTACGCCATAGTCTTAAAAAAGAAAGTCAGATGAAATGTTTAATTATTTACGAATGAACATATAGAACATTTGCCTGGTTTGCACAGCTGAAGATATAATTAGAAGTTCCTAGAGAGAGAACGGATTGAGGGTGTGCAGAAATTTCAAACATATAAGAAAGAAAATTTCCCCCAAATTGCTCACAAATGTGAGGGATTAGTCAATCTACCTGGGGCTCTCTGAAATTCCATGATTGAGTAGCTGAGAACGAAAAGATTGCTTCCTTTCTCAATGCCATTTTGTTGGACATTTTTAATGAGGTAGCAAATTTGCAGCTCAATAGGAAAAGCTCTCCGACAATGCTTTAGAATTTATAATCCCAGCCGACATATCTAGTTACTTCATTTTTAGATTACTGCACTTTCCTTACTCGTAGAAATATGACTAATGCAAATACCTTTGCAGACACCTGCATGCTGTTTTCCTGCATGTTCATAATGGCTTCGGAGATCTTGACATCTATTGGGTCCATGACAGACTCAATGTTGAATGGTCCTTCCAGTCGCTCTGCCACCAAGAGCATCGCATCTGTTAAAATACAGGAGCATGATTTATATGAGGACGGAGGGCTTCAGGTTGTTAACCTGTGTTTAAAAGTTCCAACACAACTGGTTGAAAAATACCATTCACTCAAAATTTTTATTTGCTTTTATACAATCTGAAATGGGATGGATGACTAAATATCAAAGCAGTATTTCATTTTATTTCATTTAAAGATTTAAAATTATTTTACATGTATAAAACCAGGCTAAACGTGAGAAAATTAGTTCATGTTAAGATTGTTGAGTGTCTCTAACTATCCTGCGTGAAGTTAAACCGAAAGAACAAAAATAAAAACAAAACAATATTAGGGCAAGGATCAGCTACATTTCAAAAATGGAGTCTAGTCTCTTTTCTTCTGGAGGGTGAGGAAAATTGAGAATGTTGGAGAAGAAGTGCTAACGTGTGGATTTGGGTGCACAAATGTCGAAACCCTACACAAACCTATTTACGATAGGTGCAGCACTTCTAGATTTCCCAAGAACAGACGTTGTGCCCTTCCGTTTTATACCTTCAGCTTCCTTTGGGGATAGAGACACATCTCTTACTTGCTTTTGTATATTGAAGGCTTATTATGGTAGCTATCACATTGTAAGCACTCAAAAAATGTTCATGACATGAAATTGTGCTGAATTGAATTGAAGTCTTGCTTGGGAAGCTTTAGTTTTCTGGAGGAGATGGTCATAGTGATATGCTGGCAGGAGCTCTGCCCGAGGAGCTGGTAGTGCTGAGTTCTTGTCCTTGCTCCATCACTAAGTGGCAGGATGCCTATGGGGGAAAAACCTCTGAGCTTATCTGGCCTCAGACTGGTGAGGTGTATAAAAGGGACTGCTGATGAGGAGTCTCTCAGCATCTATGGCAAGGGGCATTTGCTCGAGGGGCTCACTTTTGTCTTTAGTACTCAGGGCACAGTTGGTAACCTGCTTCCATTAGGATTGTCAAATAGAACTTTCTGTGATGATGATAACGGGGCTATTGAAACTTAAAACGTGGCTAGAGTGACTGAAGAATTAAACTGTTAATAAATTGGTTAGCTTTTAATTAATTTAAATATAATTTTTAAAAAGATTTTATTTATTTATTTGACAGAGAGAGAGCACCATGAGCAGACGGGAGGGGCAGAGGCAGAAGCAGATTCCCCGCTAACAGGGAACCTGATGCGGGACTCGATCCCAGGACGGATCATGACCCGAGCAGAAGGCAGATGCTTAACTGACTGAGCTGCCCAGGTACCCTAATTTAAATATAATTTTAAATATTTACTTGAGACTAGTGGCTGCCATATTAGACAGAGCAGCCTAGACTTCTAACATATAGATTCCAATCTTAGATTTCAAATTTTTCAATTGTTAAAGCTCTTGGGAGTTAATTGTAAAACACTTTCCTTCTTTCACAATAATACGTGTTTATTATCAAACACTTACAAAATACAGAAAAAAACCCCAACAACAAAGGAGAGAAATACACCCATAATGCCACTTCCCAGAATAACACCCAGAATAGTTTGTATATGCCTTTTTTTCTTCTTTGCATAAATATTTTAAGCATGCAACTGGAAATATACCAGCCATATATCATATAATTTCCTTTCTAAATATATTATTAATGTTAAATGCTTTTTATAGTAGTTATTTTATAGTATTAGTATGAAGAAACCAAACTTTATTTTTATTACATATCCAACTATACGTGGTCAATCAAAGTCCAACATCAAAATCTTTTCAGGGTTATAAGCAGTTATGAATTAGGCAGATTAGAAACCTTTTAAGAGAGACGAATACTTGTAAGAAGGATACAGTACTCTCTGGGAAGCAAAGATTCACATTTCTAAAGAGGACTAGGTTTTGTGAACAACATCAGCTTTAACACTACCCACTGGCTTTCTGTGCCAGATCCCAGAACTGAGTCTCTGCTCTACCCGGGACTAATACCCCCAGAGTGAATGCATGCAGGGAGGTCCCTCTATTCCACATGTATCCCCAACCCTGGTACTCTGTCCCATAGAATTCTTATTACGGGAAAGATTTTGAGTGTGAACAGACTCACAAAGAACCCCTAACCACAAATTTTCTGATTTTTTTCCTTAGATAATGCAGACTTATCTGTGTACCTTACAGCAGGATCTTATAACAAAAGTAACGATTTCTCTGCATCTTACTGACCTAATTATCTGGCAGTGTGGATGGAGGATGCACATTGTGGGGTTGTAGTATTTTGATATTAAAGATGTTTTTCCCTTGAAGGTTTTAAAAGGTGCCTAACTATTGTCTGAAAGCTAATCTATTCCTTTTGTTTCGATATGTGTTTTGTATGTTTATTAAAAATAATCCCCTTTACCGTTAGACTTTCCAACAGGTTTTTTTGATGACGATTAATTATGATGAATGAGCAAGTTTCTCTAGATGGGTGCATTCTGCTAGAAGAATCAAGAAACCTTGTACAGGAAAAAGAATTGGCCCGATGGAGTTATTCAACAAATGCACTTAAAGAAACCGAAACTATGGGATCCTTAACTTTGTGTTTTACATACGTATTTGCATAAATCATAATACAAAGAGTACTGGTCTGTTGTGGTATATTCATCCGACATGAATGGGCTGACTTAAGGCAGTGATACCTTTGGCTCTCTGGGAAGTCTGAGAGCCACTGTGCTCTAGGTAGTAAGGACAAGTGTTTGCATTGGATGCTAAGGACTTACTGTAGTGTCACAATTTGAAATTATGGGGTCCTATCATAAAGCAGGTAGGTTTCTCTTTGGTGATTTCAGTCTTTGTGTTCCCAGCTCTTTCCCCACCATAGTGCTGGCCTGTTAGGTTTTTGGGTTTGCAAATGCATCCCCTCTTTTTAGACTCTAATCACGGTAAAAGTGCTCAGGGCGAGCCTCTCCAGATCACTTGCCTATGTGGCCTTGGAAAAAGGCAGTCCGATTGATGATCCTGCATATTAAACATAACCAAATGGTCACATTTACTCAAATTGCTTGCTCCTGTATTTCCATTCTTTTTTCTTCTTTTTAAAAGATTATTTATTTACATATTTGAGAGAGAGAAAGAGAGAGGGGCAGAGAGAGAAGGAGAAGCAGACTCCCTGCTGATCAGGGAGCGCGATGCGATGCTCTATCCCAGGACCCCAGGATCACGGCCTGAGCGGAAGGCAGGCGCTTAACCTACTGAGCCACCCAGGCACCCCATGTATTTCCATTCTTTATCTCAATTCATTTACTTTGTTATAAAAACTAATTTAAGATGATACATTTTTGATGTAGGTAGATATCTATTTATTTTTCTTTTAATTTAGATCAGCTGTCAGAATATGCTACTTTAAGCTGTTATGTGGTTTAGGCTATTACTAATTTTATATATATATGTAAATAATATATATATACACACACACATTAGTTTATATATAATGTATACTAGTTTATATATATAATATATTATTTATATATAAACTAGTGATCATTTTTCAATATATATGTATCAAATCATTATGTTGTACACCTTATAAATATATATATGAACTAGTATATATATACATACAATAATTATATACATATAATTACTAAGTAAATTAAATTCTCCTTTGAAGACTCAAAAGCCAATGTGGATTGGCTCAAAACCTCAGAATCATCATTAAGAGTAGTAATGTGCATATAGTTAAAGATACTGTATTCTACACCTAAAAATTTGTTAAGAGGGTAGATTTTATGTTATAATAATAATGGAAAAGAGCCGTAATGATTATTGTGCTCATCGACTACAGAAGTGGAGAAAAGGCAACACTTTTACACTGATGGTGGGGACATAAATTGGTGCAGCCACTATGGAGAACAGTATGGAGGTTCCTCAAAAAATTAAAAATAGGCCTACCATATGATCCAGCAATCCCATTTCTGGGAAACCAAATCACCATCTTGAAATATATCTGCATCCCCATGTTCACTGCAGTATTATTTATGATAGCCAGGACACAGAAACAAATGAACTGTCCATCAACAGATGCATGGATAAAGATGTAAGATATACATATCATTCAGCCACAGAATAGAAAGAAATTCTGCCATTTGCGACAACACGGATGGACCTTGAGGGCATTATGTTAAGTGAAATAAGTCAGACAGAGAAAGACAAATACTATATAATCTCAGTTATATGTGGAATCTAAAAAAACCTGAACTCATAGATACAGAGAACAGATTGATGGTGCAGGGATTAGGAGGTAAGGGAAATGGGTGAAGGAGGTCAAAAGGTAAAATTCCAGTTAATAAGTCCTCAGGATGTAATGTACAGCATGGTGACTATAGTTAACAATATTGTTTCACACAGCTGAAACTTCCTAAGAGAGGAGAGCTTAAAAGTTCTCATCACGAGGAAAAAAATGTATTAACTATGTGTCATAATGGATGTTAACTAGACTTATTGTGATGATCATTTTTCAATATATGTATATATGTAGCAAATCATTATGTTGTACACCCTGGACTAATACAGTCAATTACCCATCAATTACATCTCAATAAAAACGAAAACAAAACAAAAACATGTTCCTTAAGATACAATCATCCCCCTGCCCAGTTCCCCTTTTGTTCTAAATATCCACGACAGGACTCCCCAGGGCCACAAAAGGAAAAGCAACTCTTCAGAAAATGCTTCTAGTATTTTGCATTTCCACTATAAAGGAGCAGGCTTACAGCTCATGTCTTTGGGAGTCTAGTTTAGATACAATATGGAAGGAGAACATGGCAGTGAGACCAGAGTTGTTCAGTCCCGGGATGCCGTGTAGGCCTGGAAGCAAATGGCCAGTCTCCCTGGACTTGAGACCTCAGATGGTAAGAGCGTCCGCATAGCCCACTGGGCAGCCAAGAGCATCCCTGCCTGACTGGCCTCCCACCAGCTGGGCAAGGTTGTCATCAGTTAAGCTCTCCAGGTCAGGAAACCCTTCTCTCTTCTTTGGGCCTGAAGGAAGCCATCCCTCTCTCTCTTCCCAAT